CTAAGGATGAGCTTTTGAATTGTAAATTGTTGACACAGGATGCTCCTGGAAAGTTCAATAAATCATGTTCATTACTATTTGGTGGTGAGCTATATGGAAGGTTTGATAATCCTTACCCCAGCGAAGAAAGCATGGCTTTATTATTTGGAATTCATCCAGAAGAAGCAGAACAAATTGTGAAAAAAATTTTTGGTGATAATGCTTTAAATGAGTTAACAGAGGTGAAGCAAGCCAGAAAATTAGGATTAACTGTCGAAATTATCAAAGTCAATGAACTACCAGAGTCGGCAACAAATGATACAGAGGATGATACAACATCGGAAAATGAAGATGATTGGTTACGTTCTTATTTTATTCGTGAATTTGAAGTTCGTGAATTTGAATCTCCTGATGCAGAACCATTTACTATCGCTGTTGGTCAAGATCTTGCACCCTATACAATGGTTGGGATGTCTATTCACGCCGACTTTCATCAATTGTCGAATGGTTTTTGGTATTGGGATAATACTATATATGTATATCCCTCTTATTACACAAAACCAGAAGGATCTGATTCTGACGAATGAAAAAATAATAATTCTTCATTACTAATTAATAACAAAAAAACTTTTTTGTTAAATGTCCCGAGGATATCCTTTTAACTAGTTATATCAATGTAGTATAATATATACTTTTCGTTTAAATTTCATTACGTAAATTAACTGTAATTTATGAATAAAGACAAGATCTCTTACTTATTCATGGACATTAACTATTTTACACGTATAGGTTGAAATTGGACTAATTACATTTTTTAATAATCAGAATTAATGAATTTAATAATACAATCACAAATAATTTTTTTTTTTTCATGAATAAGAAACACTTATTGAAAGAAATACAATAGTACAAGATGTGAATAACAATAGAATTTAACGACACACTGCATCGTCACCTCCCATAACAAATCTCATAATCAACCTAACAACAGATTTTGAAAGTCCTTTAAAGGTTATACCATCATCATCATCATCGTCATCATCATCATCATCGTCGTCATTATCCTTATCATCGTCGTCATCATTATCATCCATTGATTTAAACTTCTTATCTTTATCAATCTTATCCAGGTCAACAAAAACATACACATGTTTTCCCAATGCAGCATTCAAAAACCAATCATCAGGTAAATGAGGAAGCCATCCATGTTTTTTACAAAGTTCACTATCAGAATATGGACCATGACCAGAGTTAGTGCCACGAAGTTTACATATAATACGATTACGACATTGCGTATCAAGTGCCGAGCATGATCCATATTTGTCGAGGTGATGATTTCGAGAAGCTGTTTTTTTAAAAGTTTTATAAGCATTTGCATCAATAATGAATTTTTCTGTGAGATCTATTCAAAGAAATACAAAATTGATGTTAGAAACAACAAAATATTCTAATAAATATATATATAATAATTAATATATATACCATGCCAACTCTTTGGTTCCAAATTTTCAAGTCCATATAATGATTTTGCATCATATAACAATTTCCATTCTGGCTTATCAAGACGATTCGCTTCTTGAAGATCCATGGAATAAGTATAATGGTTAAGGATTTTTTTTGTCACTTTATCAATTTCATACACTCTATAAACAATATAAATTATTAAATTATCAATTTCAATTATGCTGTTACGTATATTGGTAAATATATACATATGGGGTCTTTGCCTTGAAAATCACCTTCCGACATTTACGATCGGGTTAATTCGGACAAAGATAAACCAGAGTACCGGTTCATGTTCATATGTTAATCATCTTTTACTTTTATTGATTCAATAGTTATTCAATAAACTATTGAATCAATAAAGTTAAAAGATGATTAACATATGAACATGAACCGGTACTCGGGTTTATTTTTGTCCGAATTAACCCGATCGGAAATGTCGGAGGGTGATTTTCAAGGCAAAAAACCCATATTATTTATAACATTATAAAAAGTTTCACCTGAAGGCAGGATTCATGTTTTTAAAAGATGTAACGCTCGGAGCTATATATGCAATACCAACGGCCTCTGGATCCTTCGAAGGATCATTGATTGATTTATCGTAGATAACATTGAATTCGTCCCAATGAGAGTGACCTAATAAAGCATAATATAAATACATAAATTTTGCGAATATTAATGTTTTTTTAAAAAAATTAAGCATCTTTACAGCTTTAATGATAGTTACCATAAAATTGACCGACAATTGTATCTTTGTACCTAGCAACAATTTGAGAAAAATAAACTCCTATAGATGGAAAGGAATCTTGGTCTAAAGCAGACATGTGCTAAATTTATAAATAGAAGAAAAATTGATGTAAACTTATCTAAAACTGAATACTATAAGAATATATATACATATATGTATATATATATATGTATGTTTTTTTTAAAGAAAAAAAGTTTGCATACACCCAATATCCAGACTTTTTCACCAAGTTTTTCTGCTTCATCCAGTTGGTTAACAACCCATTTTAACATCCATTCAGGATCCCATTCTTCTCTTGGTCTCATAAGAAGCCAAAGATTTAATTTATAGAAATAATTTGTATTAATACCTAAAACTCGTAATTTGTATTTAGGCAATTTTGCAGAATAAAATCCATTCTTTTCAATTGACTCAAGAACATCATCAGAAAGCCAATCATTCCATTGTGATGACAATGTGCTATACAACCAAGATACAGATGCTATATCACTTATAGAAGATGTTGGAAAAGAGTTGACTGGTGCAGATTCATGATTTCCAATAACGGGGAAAAACGGGGCAGCAGTGAAAAACTGACGCCAAATGTTTGCAGTTTTATTGTTATTATCCGTTATGGTTGATGAAGTTTCAGCCCAGACATCTATTAATGTGAATAAATACTAAGTTATTAAAGTAAAAATAATTTGAAATTAAAATATAGATCAAGTACAGTGTAGATAACCCCTACTATAAAACAATTGATCAGTAAATTATTTTATTAATGGGATTGGCTATATTATACTTGATCCTAAAATATTTTTATATTTTTACCATGTGGTGGAAGATCACTAAAATCCACATTTGACATTGTAAAATAAAAAACATGTCAAAATTACATTTTTTTATAACCAGTAAAGTTAAAGTAATTAATAATAATAATGGTAATACCCAGTAGATATGATGAAATCCACTTTTGGTACAGCAGTTGGTAAAAATTCTAACATGCTTTCAATTAACCTCTTGGGGGCATCTAAAAGAATAGTGTAAATGAAAATACATAACATACAGTATAGCATAAAAATTTATTAAACAAAGGCATACCACAATTATAGTCTCCCCATTTACCAGCAGGAGTGGTGGCTTTATCACCAAAAGCCTAAATATGATCTAATTAAAAACGTTGGTCGTATAATTGATCAAAAAAAAAAACGGATATAGTTTTTTACATTTGGTGCACGGCAACAGACTGGTTCTCCACAATTCACTTCATAGCCTTCAACATATTCTGAATCATAATGCCAATCACTCAAATGAACAACCCAAATTCTTTGATCATCATCGTCATTTTGTTGTTCGGAAACTGTAATATGATTCTTAGTGGTTGGTGCAGGTAAATCAATAATCTCTGGTTTTTCTGGTGTGTCTGGTTTTGGGCATAAATGAGCCTTTGTACATAAGTTTTCCGCAGAAAATACAGAATGTGCAAGGACTGTTATGACCCAAGGAGCAAATTTGGGTATGATCTCGGAACACTGATAAAATATTTATGGGATAAAAATGTACAATCGTAAACCAATACATAATAAACTCAACAGTAAAAGCATGAAATTGAAAACAATTTCATGTGTTTACCACACGTTGGGTTTGAAGTTTCAACAATGAACAAATGAGAATGCCTTCTTGAATGGTAATCTCTTGAGTAGCATTTAGCATTAAGAAATCTTTAATATGACGTGCAATAGAATGACACACTTCACATCTAATGCGAGTGGTCTGGTAAGGCACGTGATTTATACGGGATTTAGCGAAATCAGATAAAAGCGGCGTAAAAGAGCAAGGCATTGCATGAACAAACCTGTAACACATCACCATGATCAGTGAATAGTTTAACAATAGGTAAAATTTCTTCAGAAAATTCATTGTCTAACTCTTCTAAACTTTTCCTGTCATGATAAACTAATTGTTGAGAGGCCGTCAAAGGCCTTGAAAAATGGATCTGTTTGCCAAAATCGACACGAATAGACAATACTAGTAAAGCATCAAGCACAACCAAAAGTCCCAACCAAACGATTAAGACCGCACTCTGCCGACGATAAACCATGGCTAGTTTGTCTTAGACAAAGTAGAAAGTATTCTTTGTAAATTCGTTAATCTGGGAGAGAAACTTGATCTACACCTGCAGAATAGAACTTAAATAGGTAGTTTATTGTTAGGACAGTGACAAAATATTACGTAATATCTTCTTCAATATCTATAAATTTATAACTAACCAATCAAATTTATCTTATCGTTATGTGGGAGGAGGAGGAAGATATAGTAAAAATATTACGTAATATTTGTCACTACCCTTATCGATACTACCGTATGTTCGTTCCCGAAAATAAGCTACCATTTTTGGCCAAAAAATTACATGAAAATTTTACGAGTAACTTATTTTTGAAACATCGAGTTTTTTTAGAAAAATTAAAAACAACCTTATTTTCGGAAATATAGGTATTTGGGACAACCCAAATAGTGTGACAACTAGTATCACATTATTTTGACAATAAGTATAAACCTAGCGCACAAAATTTCCGAGTGATGTAACCTGCTTTTTTTTTCGGTAAACGAAATTTAGAAACTCCTGCAATATATTTAATATTATAAAAGTCAACTTAACTAAACGGACCTCCGGTATTTAACAATAGAATTTTGTGCCCTGGCGCTAGTAAATATTAATTGTCGCATGGTTTGAGTCGTCCGGGCCTAGTATCAGCATCAGTAACATAACGTGAAAGGCAATTTTCTTTATCGTGTAACAGAAAAATCTATATGTTTTGAGCCATTACGATTGAGGTAATACTTTATTTTATCCTTACCGTAATAGTAAACTTATGAGAAATTTCACGTGTACATAAACGATCACATGATTATTAGTGGAGATCTGTCGTGTAACCTGGCGCAGCTGAGTTCTATTTATTGAGCACAGCAGTTAGCATATCTTTTCTTTTTCAAAAAGACTTTAGCCTTCAACTGGTGCTATCCCAATTTACGTAAGTACTAATTATCCGCTGCCTAAAAATATTATTAATCAGTTTGTTGGTCTGCGCAAACAAATCGATCATCGTAAAAAACAGTTATCATCATCCTATTTACCGTTTAATACGCGAGCGCATGAACTGTTAGTGTAAACAAGTCAAATCTTGTACGTTGACAAGTAAGAGGGAAAAGCCGAATAAAGTTTCTTATCAATTATAAAATATTTAATACGTAGTATCTTTATTACTTTCCATATTTGGAAGTCACGGGAAATTGGCATAACTGGTACAGATAACATATATAAACCTTATATATCTATCCCTTTTTTTCGTTTTTGACCTTCATGCTCTTTTAGATATGCAACATTCACAGAATAATAATTTAATTAATACCGAAAATAACCTTAATTTTATTGAAAACGAAAAACTTCAACCAAAAATTCAACATGATCCTTTATCACGTGGAATAGGTGTTTTTCCTAGTGAATACAGTGAACCTATACCCAGTGCAATAGAAGATGATAACCATCGTTTGATACGTCGCTCGAGGTAATGAGTTATTTTTGAATTCATAATTTAATGATTTGTTACTGACGATGTTTGTCTTTATCAGTAGTAAGTCAAACGACGATATTACATCACCTTCGGTCCCACCATACGACATTGGTCAATCCGGATATGACTTGACAGAAGACGATGATGATAATGATGAGAACGAGGTGTTTATACCATAAAACCTATACATGATACTTGTTTATTATTAATTATATATTTTTTTGTTTTAGGGTCCACTTGAAGCTCTAAAACGCCAAGAAGATGCAAAAAGAACACCTCTACAAAACAAGTTATATTATTTCTTTGAATTTCCGATTTCAAACTGGGCTAGGGCGTATTCTTGGCTTTCTTTGACTATTAATTTAGCTTCTATTTCTATTCTTTGTATTAATTCGGAACCTATTATTATGAGTCAAAAAGATTATGATCAAATTTGGTAAGTATCTTTATCAATCTCGTAATCTGTCATTCGGTAATTGACTCGGTAATTGACTTCTTTGGTAATCTAGGTATTGTATGGATATTGCATTCGTATTTTTCTTTACCACTGAATATATTCTTCGATTTTATTCTTCGTCGAATAAATTAAAATACCTTTATCGTACGTATTCTCTTCCTATTTAATTATTAATTACAAGTTCGAATTTAACATGTTTTTACTTTTCAGAGCCCTCGAACGTCATTGACCTAATGTCAATCATAGCAATTTACATACAAATAGGGTTTCCAACCAATCATCACGCAAGTACTTAATAACTTCATTTGATTCCATCTGCATGATATTGCTCATATTAATTGCTGAATTACAGTATTCATCAAATCCGTTGAGTCCCGTTTTACGTTTCGTCGGAATACTTCGGTTGTTTAGAGTTGTTAAGTTATTACGCATTTCCAGGACTGCAAATGGTTTCGGTTTTAATGTAAATATAAATATGCGTATTTTATGTTTGTATCTCTTATTATATTCCAATTATTATTAATTTTGATTATTCTATTGTGTTGCAACAATAATTTTAGTTTTCTACTCAAGTGTTTATTCGATCTTCTTATCAATTATTGATTGGTGCTATATACGTGTTAATCATTATAATTGTATCATCAGTATTTATTTATTATGCTGAACGTGGTGAATTTAATACTGAAAGTATGACTTGGTATCGTTATAATGAAAAAGGGCAGCTAGAGCGTAGCCCTTTTCAGTCAATTATCCACAGTTTTTGGTGGTCAATAGTTACAATAACTACAACAGGTTATGGTGATGTTATTCCAGTTACTAGTATAGGAAAATTAATTGCTGGTTTAACCATGTCTCTCGGTATTTTGGCTATCGCTTTACCAACAACCATAATTGGCTCTAACTTTATGGATGAATGGTCTCTTCGACAGCGGGCGAAAGTTCTAAAAAGGATACATAAATCACATAAACAACGGGACAAATCATTTGCCAATCTTAATAATATAGCGAGGTCAAAAGCCCTTCAAATCGAAAATACTACAATACTTGAACTTATATTAGAAGTTCAAGACCGCTTGGCTGAAATAAATCCTCCTGACTATTATATTAGATATAAAGATTATAAAGAAAAGCATAAACAAGCTTGTGATAGAATACATGAATTAGAGCGCCAATTAGAAAAACAGAAACGTATTACAAACAATTTTGATATTTTCTATAGAAAATTTAAAAAATCTGATGATAGTAACATTCCAAAAGTGGATAATGATTTTAACATTGGATATAAAAAGAAAACACTGAACTTTCCACATTTCAGGAAATCAAGAACTTTTTCAAATTTTGGGGACACCTATGCTACATTCCATACAAATCCTATCTACGGTGGAAGTAGAAATATTGACCCTGATAACCAATCAGAAACAAAGCCAAAGATTGCAAAGATATTTTCAATTAATACTCTAAAGAAAAAAATTGCAAGAACTTTTTCCATTGAACGTGATGCTAAAAGTTCAAAGCATAGAAATCATCCTGTTGATAAAATTGAAATCAGTCAGCCTGTAGAAATTCGCCCAATATTTACACCTATTACTGACACTAGTAGTATAACTAGTGTAAATTCAAGCATTACACCACCGCCTAAGGAGAAACGCCCTCAATATCGCAGAAATATCAGCTCTCCTGAAATTACCGTAAGGAGCCCATCCGCAGATGTATATTCTGGTGGCTCTGTAAATCTAGCTGTCAATAATAATAGGCAAAGAGGGGTTTTCATTCAGGATACTAATTCTAATTACCCGATTCCTCTTGATAATATAAGGCCTTCACGTATTATTAAGGTCGATCAGGGCGAATTACAAAAGAGCACTAATCTGTCTAGCCATAATAGTAAGGAGAGAGAAATGGATCGGATTGAAATCCTAGTGGACGATCAATAATTTCCTGTTTTGAACAATTGTAGGATTATATCGATTAGAAACATTTACCAAAAGAATATGTTTGAATGTACAAAAAAAAAAAAAAAAAAAATTTTTTTATCTTCCATAATATGGATAATCGGATTTTTTTTTTTTTTTGTACTAGTTAAGCCGTCTTTCACATTTACGTATAAGCTTTTTTATATATATTACGAACTCCGTTTTAAAACCTTTTCATTGTGATTGTATTCTATATGCACTGTAAAATAATCATTATATTTTGGGATGTCTTTTTTTAACATCTCAGATCTAAAAATAAATGAACATTATAAACTTTTTTTGTGTAAATGACTCTTTGAAATATGAATTTTAATTTGTTGACGCTAGACTTTAAATCACCATAATATCTAGTTTTTTTCGATTTAGATATTATTATGCATTTTGCAAAGTTGTTAAATTGTGGCTGATTAGAGCTATTAGACATATTAAGTCGAATAATATTTTTTTCATCAGACATTGTTTAAATAACAACCCTGCTAGTGTTACAAATCGGCAAAATTTTTTCAATCGATTAGTTGGTTAATTATTTTTCCAGTTGGTTGCAACTAATCGA